AAATTATGTGTATCCTGGTTATATATTATGCGTATTTCTTCATAGCATTATGTACATTACACATTTGCATCCCTGCAAACTTCTCAATCCCAGTATATTGTCTGCCTAGTGTTAATATTAGTGTTACCTAATACTTAGAACTGTTATTATGTGTATTATGTTATTATGTCAACTAGGGTTACATATTACTTATACTTGTGTTTATTCTGATATAATATTAAGTACATTAATGTTCTCAGTTCCTATACCTCATCATAGATAACCATTTTTCTTATATTCAACATTATGTGTATCCTAGTTATATATTATGTGTATTCATTCATAAGATTATGTACATTGTATATTTGCACCCCTGTAAAATTCTCAATCCCAATCTACTGCCTGTTTGGTGTTAATATTAGTGTTACGTATTCCTTAGATTTGTACTTATGTGTATTGTGTTGTTACAGATATGTCAACCCCTACACCCACTAATCCCCGGAGATCTCCCAGAAAAAGGAATGTTGCACCTACATCAACACCTACAACCACGTCTGATCCTACACTATTAGAAATTGCCAGAGAGGGTAAACGAAAGAAAAATACCACTGCTTCGTCAAAGGGTGCTGACACATGTTCTGAAACACCAAATGTTGAAACCAGTATAGATGCCGGTGATGTCCCCAAACAGCCTGCTGCCAAAAAACAAAAGAAAACCCATGTCAGTGCAGTTGCTGAACCTGCCAAAGCCCCAAAGAGCATAAGAAATAATGAAAAACAGAAGAGGAGACAACCAAGAAACAATGATTATTTATCTGTACGGACCTCCCCAAAGCAACTCTGTGCACTCGTCAGTAGTCTGAGCCCAGAACAGCACCAAGCTGTTCGAGATATGGGATTTGGATCCCTTTTAAATGCAACACTGTCTTTGTGTGATTGTGAACTTCTGAGATACCTTCTAGAGTGCTTTGATGTTGGTAGATGCTCCATACATCTGGAAGAGGAAGAGCTCCTTCTAGGAGATGATGATGTACAGAAAACACTTGGCAACCCCAGAGGCCAACAGACTGTTGTGGAGGCTGAAGTAACAAGCAAGGACCCACAGTTCACTCGCTTGGTTGCACTTTGGAGACAGCGGTGGAGAGTGAAGACAGGCACACCAACTACAAGCCAGATGCTGAATGACATTATTGAGAGGTGTGATCATGGCCACATGTTCAAACGTGACTTCATAATCTATGTTGTTTCCACATTGATAAGAGGCTTCAAGAACATGTTCTGCAACTACAGGCTCCTGTATTCACTGCAAGATGTCAGCAAGATCCAAGACTTCAACTGGTGTGCTTACACGATACGATCTCTTGTTGACACCACCACAACATGGAGAGGCAAACGTGATGCAGCCTTCACTGGTCCTGCAACTTTCCTGATGGTATGCACTCTGTATATTCACCTATAACCTTATGTGTATTCATGATATACATTATGTACATTGTAGACTATAATTATGTACATCTTTTAATAACTTTATGTGTATCCTACTCTGCCAACCTAAACATTAACTGATACTGATTTTGAATGGTTTATCTTCTTCTTCTTCTTCTTTTTTTTTTTTTTTTTTGATTCTATTTGAAGCTGGCATACCTAGACAAAGTGCAGGTTAGAGGAGAAATAGTCAGAAAGAGAATTCCCACCATCACTTCATGGACTTCAAGTGATTTGAGAGCAAGGGTCAAGGTTGAAAGAGACATAGGCGGCTTTGGAAAGGGCAAAGTCGTTGAATATATCCCAGATGCACATCAGCCACCACCTCCTCAACTGCCACCGCCCCGTGAACTGCCACAAGGTCAAGAAGTTGAAAAGGTCACCACCGCATTGAAAAAGATGACCACGAGCATTATGGAGTTCGGTGAGGTCATGGCAGGTGTTGGGGCGAACACCTCTGTTGTTGAGATTATAAAAAATGTGTTCAGCAACTTATCCGCCGCTGCCAACCTCACCCCAAGCCCGAATCCAACCCCACCGGAAAGCTTACTGCAAGATGATGATATCTACAACCAACACAGTTTCTTGGATGCGGTTGCTGAACTTGAAGCGGCATTCCTGGCAACATTGAAGACCATGACAACTGCTGACATACCTGCACCAACTTTTAATCTCCTGACGCCAACTACCCGTGATGCTACTCCCGAAGAGGCCCCAAGAAATGCAACTCCACCTGAAACAACACCACCTCCACCCGAACCCACATCTGAACCCCGAGCAGCAACTCTATCAGCATCACCCACCACACCACCACCACAAACAACCGAAGGAAATACAGCAGCAGCAGCAGTTACCCCAATTGCAACACTCTTGGAGAAGCTCGTTGATGACATAGCTGAGGGTTCACCCCAGAAAACTCCAGAACAAATTGAATTTGATAGGTAAAACTCACTTATCACTTAATAGTATCCTTATGTGCGTTTATCCTTGTTAATTATTTAATCATGTTGTTATGCCTACTGCTTAACATGTTAAAACATGTTTCTAATTACTTTTCTGTCTCTACAAAGCCTCATTGCTGAATCTGAAGATGATGTTGAAGATGTCAATGTCCGGAAAAGGCCACAGCGAAAGTTCAAGAACCTCCCTCTGGCTTGTTGATCCCCATACTGGACAAGCAACATTTCAAAGCTCAAGAATGTTTCCGCCAGGGAAAAACTGATCTCGGACTATGCGTTCCTGCCATCAAATGAGACTGAGTACCCTTCTTAGTATGTATTTCATTTATAACTTGTTATAACAAATGCTTTCAGTTGATATACCACATTATGTGTATTCATGATATTTGTTATGTGTATTCATGATATATGTTATGTGTATTCATTCATAATATTATGTACATTGGTGTTCTCAGTTGATATACCACATTATGTGTATTCCTGATATATGTTATGTGTATTCATGTTATATGTTATGTGTATTCATTCATGATATTATGTACATTGGTGTATCCTGGTTATATGTTATGTGTATTACTTCATGACATTATGTACATTATACATTTAGAATGTGGGAAACAGTATATTACTTTAAATTGTGAAATGTTTATTTTGTAATATGAACTTGTTTTGTTTGTTTACAGTGAAATGTTGTTTTCTGCCCATGATATGTTTGCAACGAGGGAGGACATTGCAACATTGGCAAGTGGACAACTAGCTACAAATATCCTGCAAATCTGGGCACACAGATTGACGGTGCTGGATATGAAAAGATCAATTGATCAACCAAAAAGGATCTTCTTCTCGGAAGCTGCTTACGTAAGTACACATCTAGAACTAAAGCATTTTTTAAAACAATGTACTATATGACACACAACCTCTTCTTTACAGATGACGCTTGAAAATGTTGAAATAAAAACAAGGAATATGGATATTGGTGACTTCTGTGCAAATATTGACTACCAGTTGAGGGGGACTGCAATTGATATAACAGATGCAAGTCTTGTAAGTAAAACAAATATATATATATATATATGAATTTTAAGATTATTGAATTTATGTCTGTATTTGACACAGTTTGTTAAATACCTTTTAATTATTCATTTCAGGTTTTCTTTACAATCTTGAGGCACAATCACTACTACTTAATGTGCTTTAACATCCCCAAGCCAAAATTTCAGATCATTGATAACAAGCTAATGCCCAAGGGAATACCAAATACGAACAGATATGAGAACTGCCCGGCTAAGTTGGTAGGATAAACTAATACTCCTATTTAATATCTATACCCTATAGTTTAATATTTACATTACTTAAATTAATTAAACACTGCAATTACTATAATGTGCAGAAAACAGCTTTCTACAAATATCTCCAAACGAAGAAAAACTCCCTTGTAAGGAAAGTGAAGAATATCGAAGCTGAGTGCATTCACATGCCATGGCAAGATGAAGAGAACACAACAGATTGTGGTGTGTATTGCATGCGCCACATGGAAACTTACAAAGGGACTGCGGTAGACAAGTGGGAAACTGGTTTCATAGGGGGTGATAGTGATGTAAGTAATAATCAACTTTGTTCTACATTACACATGTTATCTCTTGTTTCTTCTAATTTTAACATGTATCTTTTGTTTACTGTAGGCTGATTTCATTACATCGCTTAGAGCAAAATATGCAGCAAACATCATCATGTGGAAGAAAAACGAATACATGGAAACAGTCATGCAATCAGCAAGGGACAACTACAAGAAATAGAAGTGAAACTACTAACCACAATCTGTAAAAATCAATTCTACTAATCCAAACTCAGGGTTACTTGTATTTTTGGTTCAATTTCTGGAAGTTTCAGTTGATAAACAATTATCAGAAATTTGTATATGCTCCTTTTGGTAATCCAATCTAATGTTTACTTGTATTCTATATTCTTCATATTCCCCAATATGGTTTTGTGCATAATCAATGCATATACTACACAAACTATGAACTATCAAAAAATGTACATAATCATATGAAGTAATACACATAACCCATATAATGAATACACATAAACTTTCAAACAGTGCACATACTACTAAAAAAAGTCTAACAAATATTTTGTTTCTGCTAATATATACAATCAAACATCCTACTGAATGTAAACATGTACATAATACACATATGACCAAGCATTTCATTTCCCTATATTGATAACTGCAAATCTAAAAAAGAAATGTACATAAATATATAAAAGTAATTAACACAAATAAAAATGTACATAATCATATAAAGTAATACACATAAAGTATATAATGAATACACATAAACTTTTAAAACAACACATATCATAATAAAAGTCTATTTTATTACTGCTGAGTTATGTGATTTAACATCATTTTATACGTGATACATATAACTACGATGATTAACACTAACATGTGCTTTAATTATCCTCCATGCTTGACATTGTGCTAACGTGACAAAAACTAGAACCTCCGGAACTTGGGTGCACAAGATATCCATCGCCTGCAATATTTAAAATATCACCCTCAGCTTGAGACTAAACAGCAGATTTTATTTTGGAAGCAACCATATTTGCAAGATGCTTCCGTCCCCTTGCTTTGTTATATTTCTTTGAAATAACGCTGCTCACCCTCCTATTCCGCAACCCTTTCATCCGCCTAGTAGATGGATCCTTTATAACACCACTTGTCGATCCTATGTCACAATCTTCAAATAAACTGCCACCATATTCAGCTTCAAGTCTTCTCTTTGCATCTGCAATTGCTTCTTCACAAATCTTCCGTCCTTCGATATTTTCCTGACTATAAACAGCAAGCCTCTGAAATTTCCTAATGATTTCTAATAACCAAACAGAAGATGCACCATTACCACTATCAACTCTAGACATTATATCAACATTATCAACTTCAACAACTTTTTTAGTCCACCTCTTCAAAATATACTTCTCGGGGACTTCAGAAACACAATGCACATTTAGAATGCGTAAACAATGACAACACAAAATCCCCAATTCAGTAAACAACTTGCAACTACATCCAATGTCCATTTGTCTACTGTTAAAGATCACTTCATGCCTAATAGTATCAACATCCGGCCTCCAGACATGATACTTATACACACCATCTTCCAACATCACACACTCTTGATAGCATGATCCACCTTTCAAAAATTGTTCTTCAAACAAATAGTATATCTCAATTGTATAAAATTCCCTAGCATGCAACAGAATCTTAACATTATCCATCACCATTGTCGGTACACCTTGTGAACACCGAACATCTTCCCCATTCTCTCTACTTCTCCACTCTGATATGACCCCAACAAATGAGTTATAAAAATCACACAAACCAGATGTCTTGGACAACCTTCTAGAAATAGAGTGATTGGTGGTCTCACTCCTTTGAGAAGATAAAATCCCACCCGAAAAATAATCTTTATTAAAAGCAGGACACCATTTTTCTCTACACCCATACAACTTTTCAATCCAATGATTATTGTGACATTTATATGTTGTAACCATCTTGAAATAACATTCCATAGATATATTAAAGTAAACCTACAAGCATGCCAGGATATAACATACAGAACAGACTAATGTACATAATCTTATACATAAATACACATAAACTATCAAACAGATACACATAAACTTGATCCAAAAAATTAATTCTGTATTCTGTATAATATAATCTACAAATATTCATTCAATGATAATCCATATATAAACTAATAATAAAAACAAAAAAAAAAAAATAACGAAACATACATCAGACACGTACCTTGTCCAGTAAAATTCAAACTCTGCCTCTGTATCCGTATACTTTAACAAGCAATTGAATATATCTAGGAAATATTTTTGATTTCTTAACCCTTTAATGTGCTTCTTTGAGTTCTCGCCAATATGCCATATACATAGCCGATGTCGTGAACTTAGAAAAACTTGAACAATTGCAGCAGCCATAGCAGCACATTGATCAGTCATTATGCTTTGTGGACTTTTGTAATCCATAGATCTCAAAAATGTCTTAAACAACCATACAAATGACTCAATCTTCTCATTCATCAAAAAACCGCATCCAAACATAACATTCATGCAATGGTTATTCATGCCAACAAAAGGTCCACAAATCATGTCATATTTGTTAGTACGATATGTTGTATCGTGAACTAACAAGTCCCCGAACAAATCATAGTCTCTCCTCATCCGTCCATCCCTCAAAAAAAAAACTACACAACCTTGACTCCAAATCCACCTCAAAATCAAAGTAAAAATCCCTTTCACTTGACTGCCTCCGTTTGAATATTTCAATCAATGTGTTTGAATCGGTACCATCCAATCTGTTCAATGCATCGGTACATAGAGAGTTATATGCATCCCTACTTGTAAACCCAACAAGTGGTGATCCCCCTGATTGTGTTTTAAGGAATCTTACACCATCTGCAACAGACACACCACTGCTCTTCAAATCAGTAAGATAGGATATATGATTCCTAGACAGCATCCTATGTGACCTTAGAAGGTAACTCTTGCTTGGTGGAACCAATTCATGATTATGCAACTTCTCATGCTTCGAAACAATCCACATCTCATTCTCATGTAAATCGAATTGGACAAATGCACCACAACCTGTACGACCATCAATTTTAGAATAACACCCTTTTCCTGTACTCCTTTTAAATCCATCCTTCGAACAATGGAACATCTTCGTCTTCATTGTTTTTGTAGCAGAATTATATCTTTGCTTACTCCTCCTCACACTAAAACCTACTCTAAAAGCATAAAACGAACAAATCAAACCATATAATACACGTACAACCTCCCTGAAACAACAACTTCAAATCAAACCATACTAACATCCAAAACAACCACAATCAAACAACAATTCTATATCAATTCTTATATAATTCAACGGCGAGTTCAATATATTCATCATACATCAAACAAAAATACAAAATAAAATCTTAAAAATCAAATACCTGGATTAGCATCATTTGTATCTACCACTCCAACAGGATCAGTTGTATGCTCTGTCTCCGCTACATCCTGCTGCGCAATCGAATCATACATGGCTTACATCCAACAATTGCAGAATACGACGCAAATCGAACAATCAGATCGCTCTCGTGTTCTCCTCTCGTGTTCTCTAATCCAATATGCATGATCGGCGCGAAGACACCATCTCTTTAGAGCCGCTCTCTCACTTCCCTCTCTCTTACCCTTTGACGGCGTTAACAGACTAATAAAAAAAAGTCCGTTACGTAACAATTCCATACGGCGTCGTTTTGATGCTGGGTGCACATAGCGCTATACGCCGGGGTATATGGTATAAATTACCATTATTTTTTATCAGGCTTTAACCAAGCCACGCGCGAAAGAGAGCCTCTATCATATACAATTCAATAAGTTTAAAAAGAGCTCTTGTATAAATAGTGGGGCAAATCCTCTTCCCAAACCAATGTGGGACAAATTAAAAGCTCACTTTTTCCCTTCATTTTCTAACTCAAATGGGTCTACTTTGAGAATCAATATCTCATTCACCCATTATCCGTTTTGAGCGTACAATATATCAATCTCTTCGTCTCACTACGAGGAATCTGAATCCACTTTGACTCGACTCAAATCGGAAGTGGACCCCACTGATAATTGTACCACAAAATAGCCACTTAACATGCCATTTTAAGCTATTTTTTCCAACAGAAATTTCGTGATGGGAGCATTGGGATCATCTGTTGGTGACCCTCCAAATTGATCTAAAGCAACCATTTGTAGAATAGCTGGCTTGATCTAAAAATTATTGGCTTCTACCCCCAGAACATTAATGCTACCATGTTCCTCAACATCAGGTGCAATATAGTCAGACATGGACCTTCCAATGAGTCGTGGTTGATTGACTCCCTCTCTTTCATCATTGAGGTTCACATTGATCTGATTCTGTCTCTGTGCCATCCTTCTCAGTTTTCTAAGGAACTTGGCATGCTTTTCAATCTCAAGGTTCAAAGGCAATAATGCTTCGTTCCCCGAAGACCGAGCGCGCATACAACACCAAGTCCATAGATCACAACGCAACAAAAGAAACTCGTTATCGGTGAATTTTTTTTAAAGAGTATGATAGGAATATTTTTGTAAGTTTTGATGAGCCAAATGTACTATAGATCCCCTTAGTTTTTAGGTCTTTTAGTACAAGCATCATAAATCAGAATATCGAGTCAAAAGGAATCTACCATAGGAAGAACAAAATTAATTTGGGAAATTAATTTTGGTCGTACGAGTATTCATCCGAGAAAGAAGCATAAAAGAATGACGTTGCAAGAAATGATTGGATGAGCCTAACGGCGAAATGGTAGAAGTTCTTACTCAAAATGATCACACCTGAGATCAATTTCCCACCCCCCCCCCCCCCCCCAAGGACTTACTTTTTTTACAAGTAAAGTTTTCAGACAATCACAATGTTCCAAGGAGCACGATGCGGACAAGCACAATGTTCCAAGGAGCACAATGTTCTTAAAGGAGCACGATGCGAACAAGCACAATGTCTGAAAAGGAGCACAATGTCTGAAAAAGAGCACAATGTGACCAAATCAGAAAGAGCACAATGTTCAAGTCAAACAAGCAAGAAGTGCCCAAGTCAAAGGAGCACAATGTGGCAAAGAAGCAAGATGTTCAGAAAATAAATAAATTCGAAGGAATTTATTTTGGATCAGCCCACATGCCACAAGAGTCCAAAATTGCCTGAAGATTTTTTATCAGAACGGAAAAATATTTATGAAGACATGAATATAAAAACTTATCCTAGAAATAAATTCTATCAGGTGAATTTATTTCAAAGATTCGTTGGATATTCAAATTGACAACAAAAATAATATTTTAAGAAACAACTTGAAAATTAAGTTGAGATAAAATATTATTTTGTCAGGCAAGTTGACAATCAAATCAAAATTGATGATCTACTATTGTCAACAATATCAGGCTATGAAGATTCAAATTTCAAATATCAAATTATCCCACTCCAACGGATATATTTGATTGCCTATAAAAAGCCATGAAGACTTGAAGACAAGCAGAGATAGAGGTGCAATACACACGGATAAACAAAGTGCAAAATTCAAAAGTGCGAGTGCTCAAAATATTCTTAGAGACTTAGTCTGAATAGTCTATAATTTAGTTAGAGAGAGATACAATTACCTTTGTATTTGTAATTGTAAAAAGAGTATAGTCGTGTGCAAAATACTCTAGTGAGTGTAGCTGTGTGCAAAACACTCGTAGTTGAGTGTAGTTGTGTGCGAGACACTCGAAGTTGGGTGTAGCTGTGTGCAAGACATCCGGAAGAAGTGCTTGTGTAGCGCTTATTCACTATTGTAACTGTGTGCGGAAAATAGTGAATTACTCCTAGAAGTGAATGGAGTAAAGTGGACTAGGAAGATTACGCCACTTCCGAACCACTATAAATTGCCTCTCTCATTTACATACCGTACTTACATAATTTGCTCTATTTATCTATCTTATCCGACTAACCCATTTACTATTCACAGTCTATCTTAACCGTTCGGGTTTAGTGTGTTTTCACATATGCATGTGACTCAAACTTCTCGAGCTTAAATATTGGATTATTCTAAGCAAGTTTGACGTGTTGCATGTAACGTTCGTCACCCAGTCGACGTGACACGATATTTGTTTACAATCTTGAATATTTTTGTTATATATTGAGTGAACCATCTCCTTTATATATATTCAAGATATCTCTATCACTTTACATATCATCTGTATCCATCTTACATGCGCATTTAAATTATTGGTTGGGCATAACTCTTTACATACTATTATTCCGCTGTGCAGTTTTAAACTTACTCTATTTACTTGTTACTTAGAGTTGAAGTTACCAAAGAGTTATTTATTTTGAAAAAGCTTGAAAGTCTATTCACCCCCCCCCCCCCCCCCTCTAGACTTTCACATGTGGCCTTCTTCGCACCAGCCTAAGCACATATATATATATATATATATATATATATATATATATATATATATATATATATATATATATATATATATATATGTATATATATATATATATATATATATATATATATATGTATATGTATATATATATATATATATATATATATATATATATATATATATATATATATATATATGTGTGTGTGTGTGTGTGTGTGTGTGTGTGTGTGTGTGTGTGTGTGTGTGTGCGCGCGCTTGAATAAAATTACAAATTTGTAAGTAAGACAATTATATTAGACAATTATGTTAATAAATAATTATTACTTTGATACATTGATTTCGACTAGTTACTACATAGAATTAATAATAATAATAATAATAATAATAATAATAATAATAATAATAATAATAATAATAATAATAATAAGAGTTAATACCAGCCAAGATCCCTCGACTATAGTGGTTCCGCCATCTATGGTCCTAAACTTTCAAATCAACCATCCGAGATCCTCCGTGTTTCAAAAATGACCTGCCATGGTCCTGCCGTTAGTGTTTGCCGTTTGAGCCGTGAAATCCTAGGGCATTATAGACATTTCACATTTTTTTTCAAAAAAAAAAAAAACGATTCATTTGGTCTTCTCCTTCTGAATCGAAATTACCCTACCCAACATAACCCTTGGTGCCATGAACGTGTGGCGGTGGCCGGAGTAGTCGAAGTGGACGCACCAATCTTGGTGCCAAGAACTTGTGGAACAACCCGGCGGAGAGCAGGACCTCGCTGATTTCCCTCACCATAGCGTGGTGGAACAACCCTAATTGGTCACAGAAAATGGCCCCGATCGCCGATTGATTGGAGCCCGGAGAATAGACGTTGGAAAGCATGGGAATCCTCTCTACGGTGGCGAACACCCCCACACGAATATTGGTGGCGTTTACAAAGAACAACACGTCCGCCGCACTGTGGCAGCGCCCGGAGTTGTCGAAGGTGGAATGGGCCAATCTTGGTGCCAAGAACGTGGTGTAACAAGAACCCACTGTATGGGTTCACTTGGGCCTCCATCAACCCATCTCTCACCGCCGATTGCCAGCTCTTGAGCTCCGATCGAAACACGATGGCCCTTTCCACCTACTCGTATGACTGGTTCACCAGACTTAAATCCCAGTTAATCCCGGAGTTTCCATATAATTCCTCATCAGCATTGCTATAGAAACCGACGTTTATGGCGCTGCTTCCGCCGAGAACGCGACCGCGTGCGTTTGGGACTCCATCCTCGGATATGAAAGGCTGAGCAGGGGAATCAAAGGTGTCGAATTCCGACAAGGTGGCCAGAAACCCCTCTTGGGTCATCAAATTGGGATCCCGACACGGAACGCTGCCTCTTTCAAGAACCAGAAGATGATGAATTGAGAAAGTGATGGAGAATTAGCAAGAAATTGAATGGAACCTGCAAAAAATCAAGAACAAGAAGATGATGAATCGAGAAATTGATTTGGGCAGAGAAGGAGAAGCGAAATGAATTGTTTTGGGTGAAAAAATGTGAAATATCTATAATGCCCTCGCATTTCACGGCTCAAACGGAAAACACTAACAGTAGGACTACGGGAGGTCATTTTTGAAACATGGAGGATCCCGGACGGTTGATCTGAAAGTTTAGGACCATAGGTGGCGGAACCACTATATTCGAGGGACCTTGGTTGGTATTAACTCATAATAATAATAATAATAATAATAATAATAATAATAATAGTAATAATAATAATAATAATAAATAATTATCATTTTGGTACAACCAGTTAGTACATAGAATTAATTCCTTAATTATAATAATATTATAACTTAGTTAATATATTAATGAAAATTTTTTAAATTAAAATGAATATTCAGTTTGTTATTGATTGCAGTATAATTTGATAAATAAATAATACCCGGAGTATCGAGTTATCGATCCACAGGAAAAATGGCTGTATTAAGGACTAGCTACTAAATTACTCACGAGAGTTGATCCTAACAAAATAGATGATTTGACAATGGTAAAAGAAAAGCTAATTAAAAATAAACTAAATAAGCAGGTAAAACAATAGAGCAAAAGTGAGATTCTTGGGGATTCAAGAGC